TTTCTCTCTCTCTCACACACACACGCACAAAAGAGAAATGTATAGACAGAGACACAATTCACACATATCATGCATACCCCAGCAATGGGAACGGTTTGTACACAGAGCTAACTCTCGGATCAATGGGACAAAATTAAGAAAGCGAAAACATTTGAGAAATCCTTCTGACAATGGGATGTACCAGTATTAGATCATGGAAAAATCCTCCAAGAGAAGCGTTATAAGTTTGGACTTACTCTGCCTGGAACAGTCCTGACAGGAAAACGAACTGGATGAAAAACAGCCTTATCCTCAAAAGAACATATTAAAAGTTGCACATGCTAAAAAAAAGCCATGAATGCTCAAAATTAAGTAATTTTGGAGCCAGTGGCAATATTATATCTCCCATGTTACTCAAGATAACACAATTACATTCTTGTGGGCCAGCATAAGTTGACATTTGCAGTTGCTCTGGCTTCCTGAAGAAATAATGGCTTCAGGTTACAGAAGGCTGAAGCATGATGGTGGTCTAATTAGCACACTACGACATAGGAACTGGGATGATACAGAGAAGCAGATCACCTGTGGAAAAGTTTTTTTAAAGTAATTATATTCTGTGCCCAATTCTGGTCTCAAAAATGGTTTTACACTCATGTATCTCCACTGGCTTCCATGGAGATATAGTAGACTTTATTATTTGTATTTGTGCAAAGGAGGTCAGAATCAGAGCCTTGAAGTTCAAACTAGTGTTTATCCAAAATTAAGGGGAGAAAAGGGGATTTGGAATAATTGGGGGACATTGACACAGCAGGTACAGTAGAGAACCAGCAGTGTGACTGTTTAACTTGATTTCCAGAGACCTATTAAGCTTTCTTAAAATATTACACTCTAAGGAGGACAGCATCTATAGATTCAATATTATCATTTAACTAGCTTCAGAGTCAAAGGCAGTAAAAACATGTCAGAATCCAAAAATATCTGTATTTAATCTCAACAATCTGCTACTGTGATGGCCTTTGCATTCATTCCAATAGACTCAGATATTAAGGTCAAAAGGGACCATTATGATCATCTAGTCTGACCTCCTGCACAATGCAGGCCACAGAATCTCACCCACCCACTCCTGCAATAAACCTCTCACCTATGCCTGAGCTACTGAAGTCGTCAAATCACGATTTAAAGACTTCCAGGTGCACAGAATCCTCCATTAAGTGACCCGTGCCCCATACTACAGAGGCAAGCAAAAAAGCCTCCAGGGCCTCTTCCAATCTGCTCTGGAGGAAAATTCCTTCCCGACCCCAAATACGGCGATCAGCTGAACCCTGAGCATGTGGGCAAGATTCACCAGCCAGATACCCAGGAAAGAATTCTCTGTAGTAACTCAGATCCCACCACATCTAACATCCCATCACCGGCCATTGGGCCTATTTACCATGAATAGTTAAAGATCAATTAATTACCAAAATCATGTTATCCCATCACACCATCTCCTCCATAAACTTATCAAGTTTAATCTTGAAGCCAGATAGGTCTTTTGCCCCCACTGCTTCCTTTGGAAAGCTATTTCAGAATTTCACTCCTCTGATGGTTACATCCCTGGCTAAAAAATTAGTTTGCTTACAACATTGATGTCTGTATTCCAATATATGACATAGAAATAGCTAAGAATGCTTCTCCAAAATGTTGTGATAGTATCAGCAATACACCAGAAACATCAGTTCCTCATCCTATTCAACAAGGACAAAATAGCAGAAACAGCATTGCTACGATGCTGGTGGCCAAAGCAGTGCAGAACCCACAGAGAGAGAGACTCTACACTTCCATATGCACCATGTATATAATCTTTGCATCAGAACTCTCAAGGCAATGTACAAGGGAAAATACATACATGTCTGAAGTACGGCTAGCGTGTCCACCAGCATGAATCCACATAGCCCGACATGAATGTAGGAATGAAGCTGTGAGTATGATGTTACCTCCCTCACAAAAAGTAAAAGTTAGAAAAATCCTTGGTGCACAAGCATACTGCATGTTATTTTTATTTTGAGGTGAGGATTCAGTCCCTTTCTCTGCTGCATTAACTCTGAGCCAGCATCTCAACCCACAGAACCCAGAGAACGTAAAATGCAATGTAGTGAAAAGGTTTTACCCGTGAGAGTCTATAACAGCGACATTAGTTATAAATATTGCACCTTCACAGTTCCAATGTCCACTGGCATTTCCACACTTAAAAGGACAGTGCCATACTCTGCCAGAGAGGAGGCTGGCAATTAAGGCATTAATCAAGACTCCTATTCATTTCAATGGGTTTTGGATCAAGTCCACATACCACAGAGTTTTCCTGGAATACTGAAACATCTGATTGGCAAATCCAAGCCCATATTCTATTCACTCCCATGTGTAGGAGCCTTATTTTTCATTACAACAAGTATTCAGACAACCACTGACTTCATTAAAATTCCTGAAACTTTTACATATTTTAATATTAATGATTATTGATCTGAAAGTTCATAATGGATGTCTGTTATTTCCTATCTGTTATTTCCTTATTTTAAAAATTCCAATCATCCAGTCAGAGAACAGAAAAAATGCCCTCTGATGTAGCTGACCAACCATGCAACACAAATGAAGAGCAGAGAGAACAATGTACGAAGATATAGTCTAAAGGTTATTTTTTCAAACTATTCAGTGAATACTTATGAATAACAAATGCTTTCAAAGAAATCAGGATCCATTTGTTAAGAATTCATGAACAAAAAAAGGAGCTAAATTTGTAACAAATATTACTTTCAACTATTTCTGATAGAAACTAACAATCCAACATGCAACAATAAAAAGTGGTGTGTCAGTTTTTTAAACAATTATGAGAGTAAACAAGGCCAATTTATCTTATATCAGGGATCTCAAACTCAAATCACCACAAGGGCCACATGAGAACGAGTACATTGGCCCAAGGGCCGCATCACTGAAACGTTTTCATACAACGATACAAAAATATAGTAAAAAATGAAGAGTAATATAGTATGCTATTAAAAGTCAATGTATTAACTTTTTTAAAACTAATGCGATGAGGGGTTTTAATAAAATATAAACACTCAGTAATGCACCTCACTCAAATGAGGAAACACACATTTACTTTTAGAATTACCTTGGTTAAAGCCCCTCTCCCCCTGGCCCCGCACCTGCCCCGCCTCTTCTCTGCCTCCTCCCCAAGCGCGTCCCTGCTCCTCCCCCTGAAAAGTCTGAAGTGTCGCCAAACAGCGGCAGGAAGTGCTTGGAGGTAGGCAGAGGAGCGGGGATGCAGCACGCTCAGGGTGGGAGGTATGGTGGGTGAGGAGAGCTTGGCTGCCAGTGGATTCGGCGCCTATGGCAGGCTGCAGGAAATAACTCTGTGGGCTGCATGCGGCCCCTGGGCCACATGTTTGAGTCTTAGATTAAATCCTTTGTTCAGTTAGTTTTCCATAATTTAGCACAACCATCTACTAAGGATATGACCCTTGGTGAGGTTTGCAGGTTTCATCAAGATACTATTAATTGGGGCTTTCTTTGTCTGTTTGTTTTTTGCAAATTCCTGCACATTTTTTGCAAATTCCTGCATATTTAAGTTCTCCACATTTTACAGTCAATGACACCATCAATTAGGATGTTATTAAATTAAGACATTGGCAGGTGGCAGAATTTGCTTTGCAGTAATAAGAACAACGAGGAGTCTGGTGGCACCTTAAAGGACTCCTCGTTGTTTTTGTGGCTACAGACTAACACGGCTACCCCTCTGATACTTAACAATAAGATCCATTCATAACCACCTATGGGGTAGGGCTATATTACAAGCAACGTTAAAATCACCCCATAAGAAGATGTATATTAGAAACACTGTCACTCTATTCAAGGTCATATGGTATCCTCTTTGTCAGTTTTATATAAATTTTTAGGAGTCATTTAGAAAACAGTTATTGAAAAGCTTTAGGCACCTTTTTCACATCTTAAGAAATACAAACAAACAATGTGAACAATACTAGGAAAATCCAGCAATTTCCCATCAGGAAAAGGGAGAAAAGGAACCTACTCCAGCCACTTGGGCTGTTTAATCTTCTGTTGTCAGACTGGAAACCTCTTTTGTAACTATTTTCTTCATAATGACTCTTGCATATCCAAAATGACTGACTGACTGACTGACTATCTAAAGCCACACTCTTCCACCTCATTAATAAGAACATAAGAATGGCCATACTGGGTCAGACAAAAGGTCCATTCAGTCCAGTATCCTGTCTACCAACAGTGGCCAATGCCAGGTGCCCCAGAGGGAGTGAACCTAACAGGTAATGATCAAGTGATCTCTCTCCTGCCATCCATCTCCACGCTCTGACAGAGGTTAGGGACACCATTCCTTACCCATCCTGGCTAATAGCCATTAATGGACTTAAATTGATGGAGGTTATCTAGTTCTCTTTGAAACCCTGCTATAGCCCTAGCCTTCACAACCTCCTCAGGCAAGGAGTTCCACAGGTTGACTGTGCGCTGTGTGAAAAAGAACTTCCTTTTATTTGTTTTAAACCTGCTGCCCGTTAATTTCATTTGGTGGCCTCTAGTTCTTATATTATGGGAACAAGTAAATAACTTTTCCTTATTTGCTTTCTCCACACAACTCATGATTTTATATACCTCTATCACATCCCCCCCTTAGTCTCCTCTTTTCCAAGCTGAAAAGTCCTAGCCATGATAATTAAGTACATACACATGACACACACAAACTTGTGGGAAAAAAAAAAAAAGACTTGTGTGTGTGATGTGTATGTACTTAATCATCATGGCTAGGACTTTTCAGCTTGGAAAAGAGGAGACTAAGGGGGGGATGTGATAGAGGTATATAAAATCATGAGTGGTGTGGAGAAAGTGAAGAAGGAAAAGTTATGTACTTGTTCCCATAGCGTGGTTTTCTACCTACAGAAGGAACAGTCACAATCCTCAGTGTCACTCTTTAAATGCAACACACAGAAGGACAACATCCACTAAGTACTTACATTTCCAAATATTTCTGGCAGCCCCAAAACCTGAGCAATGAAAACTCCAATACAGATGAAGATTGCTGTGACCTGCCCCAGAGCACCCCGGATCTCCTTAGGGGAGATTTCACTCAAATAGATGGGAAGGGCACTGAGAGAGACACCTGTGAAAGAAGGGAACAGCAGAGAAATTGCTGTAAGTACAATTGACTTAACACTGAACCAATAAATGAGCAAGAATTTATTTAGAAATCTCAGACACCACCATGATGAGGGTGGCATAAGAACCTATATAGAACAGAACGTATGCTTGTGTGCGTGCGCACGCGCGCACTAGTATCCTTGTACCATCTAATCATCAGTAGTTTTAATTACATATCTGAAATGATGCATGCTGGTCAGGACTCCATTGCTACAATATGAAGAGTGCAGTTCATTCTATAGAAATTACCACTAGGGTCCTGGGGCGGGGGTTGCCTTACTCAGCCAGACATCCAAAATAAGCAGGATGGGGAAGCTGTCCTTTTGGTTGCCCGGAAAAAAAACGGTAGGAAGGAAAGGGCTAAGTTATCCCCGGATGGGATGCACGTGTGTGCTAAGGAGTGGGTTAAAACAGCACTGACCTTCTTGTCAAGAAGGCAACTATCAGTGTGGGGAGCATAAAAGAGTAATAGCAGGATGCCTCTCTCAATTCTCTGGGTATCAAGGGGCCATCGTCTGCTCCCTGTCAAAGAATAGCAAGGGAGAGGATGCTGATACCGCACTGGTTTCACCCTTCTTTCAGGTTGTGTTTATTGCAAAGGTTGTGTGTTGTGAAGATGTGCATGCAGTGTAGCAAGAAAGTGAAGCCTCAACCCTAGATTTTCCAGTGGAAACCCCATACACTGCTATGTCTGAACCCTCCCATTGCTCGTCCATTGTTAATGCTATTAATGGGGTATTAGAGATTCTGATGCCTGAAAGACATCAATGTCTGTAACATTCACTTGACTGATTCTAGCATCACCAGAACAACCACCAGCAGCATAGGAAGAGAAGGAAGGAGGAATGTGTAATGGTTCACAATGGAAGTCTCTTGTCACTTCATCAATAACCTGGACACATGTAAATAAGAAAAATCCAACAACCTGATTTAGCAATATGTCAACTAGACAATATTAAATACAACATTTACACTATAGAATGCATCCTTGTTGTATCAGCAGAGAGAGAGAGATGTTCCCCTTAAACATGCTTACAATTCTGATGGACTTTTAACAGCATGCATGAATTAGAGAAGAGAACACACCCCAAAATGTGGGGAAATAAAAAAGTCAGCGTAAAGCCACCTTAGTCCAGCAGATTAACATTGGTATAAAGGTACCAATTTTTATGTTAACAACACATGTATCTTCAAGACTACTGTAATTAGTTCTTACAAACAAGATAACCTACTAAATTATTTTGGTGGAAGTGGTGGTTCCACGTGGTATTTTAAGGGTTGGAAAACATTTATTACAAATGGATAGCCATGTTCTCTGCCTTCAGTTTTATCTTATCATATTGATATGGCATCTAGCAACACCAAAATGCAAAATAGTAAGCAGCTTTAATAGACAGGCCATGTTCTCCTACCCAAAGGGTTTCTGTTTTGCAAAGACAGACATTCTGTACGAAGGGAAATTTTCTGTCATGGTTAATATCCATTTATGTTTCTTCATTAAGGGTCAGATTCTGCCATCCTTACTCATACTGATTGTTCCCATTGATTTCAGTGGGATTATGCATAGAAATCACTCCTCAATTAAAGGGTGGCAGAGGATGCCTAGTATAAACTGTACATGTATATACAGCATAAAATAAAGCTTACCTGCATGAATACCCATCACAGTGCGGCCCAACAAGAGCATTTCAAATGATCCAGCTATCTGACAGAGAGCCATCAACAATGCAGCCACAACTGCAAATACATTATTGATTAGCAATGTATGTTTTCTGAAAGAAAAATATATATGTGTTACACTTATATTAAAATTGTACATAACATTTTTAAATAGTCATATTAACATACATTTATTAAAATAGCTAAATTGTACATAAAATTGCAGATAATTAAAAACACAGTGCTTAACACAGGTTCACACATGTTAAGCATTACAGAAAGAGTTTCAAAAAACTGCAGCTAAAGATATCTGCTGTAGAATAAATACAACTAGTGTCACAAAATAAAGGTCCAAATTTCAAAGGCATGAAGATTTGCTTTCTTATGCTTCCCAAGAGCAAGACAAGATATATTTAAGATTAGCACGTTCTGGATAGCGGGACATATGTAGCAGGGTCAACTGTTTTAAATTGTAAAAGAAATAAGATATACTTCAAATTTCAATATGTTGAAAAAGATGGTAGAACCTTGCATGGTATTTACAAAGTTTTCAACAGAGCAGTGTTTGGAAAACTGCAGCATGTACTGAAATATGGCCAAATTCAATTCTTGAATACCGAATGGAAATCTGGAAAAACTTCATGGATGTCACCAGATTTACACTGTTAGAACTGAAAGCAAAATTTGTCCCTCATTCATGATATTATAGGTATATAAAAGGAAAGTGAGCTCATGCACAGCTGGGCAAAACATCTGGGTTTTTTAGTTCATTGGTAAAACCAACTTCTTTTCACAAAAATGTGGAAATTCTCCATAATTTTAAATTTGTTATGAAATTCCATCTATTTTTCCAAATTCACTATCACTGGATGAAATAACTAAGTAGTAGTTAAAATGAAAGAAATTTTTCCACATTTCCAAAACCAAGTCTGAAAAAACCCCCACTCTCTCTGCCTTTCCTCTATCACAACAACAACAGCCATATATATTTATCATTTAAATACAGTTTTATCCATATTATTCTTTGCTGCCCATGCTCTCTCTTTCCATATCTTTTGAGCTGTGAATCAAAACACTGTAATCTCGCTCAGCCTATAGAAGTGGCAGCATGAAGAATTTCCTGGATCTTTTGACTCTTTGCTTCCCTTACTTCCTTGTGGTTACAAGGTCAGATTTTGCCACGCATGTGTAACAAGAATGTTAAAAATATGAAATCAATAGCTCTACCGAGATTAATTCTGTAATGATTATTCCCCGCTGAAGGATTAAATATAAAAGCCCTCTCAATGCTGAGATTATCACTACCATCTGACTGGATGTCTTTATTACCTACTGTCTCAAAGAAAAAAGCTCCAAATGGCTTCTTTTTCCTAAAAATAGGTATATAAGAAATGGATTGGCAGGGCTCGCCAACCCCTAGGATAGCGATTAATTGAAAGGGTTTCAGGGTATGTCTACACGGCAAAGGAAAACCTACGGTGCCAAGTCTCGGAGCCTAGGGCAAGTGACTCAGGCTCGCAGAGCTCAGGCTCAGGAGACTAAAACTAGCAATGCAGATGTTCTGGCTCAGGCTGGAGCCCAGGTTCTGAAACCCAGCGAGAGGCTTAGAGCCCAAATGCCTACACTGCTATTTTTAGCCCCGCAATGTGATTCTCACAAGCCAAGTCCATTGACCCCAGCTCTGAGACTCAAGAACTGGGGGTCACCTAATGAAATTAATAGGCAGCAGGTTTGGAATAAATACAATGAAGTACTTCATGTAATGCACACTCAATCTGTGGAGCTCATTGCCCGGGGATGTTGTAAAGGCCAAAACGATAACGGGGTTCAAAAAAGAACTAGATAAGTTCATGAAGGACAGGTCCATCAATGGTTATCATCCAAGATGGTTAAGCATGCAACCCCATGCTCCAAGTGTCCCTAGCCTGTAGTTGCCAGAAGCTGGGAGTGGACAACAGGGGATGGATTACACCATGGTTGCCTGTTCTGTACATTCTCTCTGAAGCACTTGGCATTGGCTACTGTTGGAACAGAGGATACTGGGCTAGATATACCATTGTTCTGACCCAGTATGGCCATTTTTATATTCTCAGTGATATTAGCTTTTTTTGCAACAGTGGTAAACTGTTGACTCACATCTAGCTTGTGATCCACCATAAACCCCAGATCCCTTTCTGCAGTACTCCTTCTTACACATTCATTTCTCATTTTTTATGGGTGCAATTGATTGTTCCTTCCTAAGTGGAGTACTTTGCAGTTGTTCTTATTGAATTTCAACCTATTTACTTCAGACCATTTCTCCAGTTTGCCCAAGTCATTTTGAATTTTAATTCTAATCCTTCAAAGCACTTACATCCCTCCCAGCTTGGTCTTGTCCGCAAACTTTATAAGTGTATTTTCTAGGCCATTATCTACATAATTTATGAAGCTACTGAAGAGAACTGGACCCAAGACCAATCCCTATGGGACCCCATTCGATATGCCCTTCCACCAGCTTGACTCTGAACCATTCGTAACTACTGTCTAGGAATGGTTTTCCAACCAGTTATGCACCCCCCATCTGGCAGCTCCAGCTAGGCTATATTTTCCTAGTTTGCTTCTGAGGAGTTAGCAGAAGCCTTTCTAAAGTCAAGATATACCACATCTACTGCTTCCCCCTATCCACATGGCTTGTTACCCTGTAAAAGAAAGATAGTAGGTGGGTATGACTGATTGGTAGGTTGGCTTGACAAATCCATGTTGATTGTTACTTATCACCTTATTATCTTCTAGGTGTTTGCAAATGGATTGCTTGATTATTTGCTCCATTATCTTTCTGGATACTGAAGTTAAACTGACTAGTCTGTAATTCCCCAGCTTGTCCTTATTCCTTTTTATAGATATACTGTATATTTGCCCTCTTCCAGTCCTCTGGAATCTCTCCAGTCTTTCATGACTTTTTGAAGATAATTGCTAATGGTTCAGATATCTCCTCAGTCAGCTCCTTGAATATTCTAGGATGTATTTCATCAGGCCCTGCCGACTTGAAGACATCTAACTTGTGTAAGTAATTTTTAACTTGTTCTTTCCCTACTTCAGCCTCAGATCCTACATCACTTTCACTGGCATTCACTATGTTAGACATCCGATCGCTACAAACCTTTTTGGTTCAAACTGAAACAAAAAAGGCATTTAGCACTTCCTCCATTTCCACATTTTCTGTTATTATCTTTCCCTCCTCATTGAGTAAGGGGTCTACCCTCTCCTTGATCTTCCTCTTGCTTCGAATGTATTTGTAGAATGTTTTCTTGTTACCCTTTATGTCTTTAGCTAGTTTAATCTCATTTTGTGCCTTGGCCTAATTTTCTCCCTATATGCTTGTGTTCTTGTTTTTATATTCATCCTTCGTAATTTCACCTATTTTCCACTTTTTGTAGGTCTTTTGTTTGAAGATCATTGAAGATCTTCTGGGTAAGCTAGGGTGGTCTCTTGCAAACTTTCTAGCTTTCCTATGCAGTGAGATAGTTTGCTCTTGTGCCCTTAATAATGTCTCTGGAAAACTGTCAAGTCTCTCGAACTGTTTTTCCCCTTAGGTTTGCTTCCCGTGGTATCTTAACTACCAACTCCCTGAGTTTTCAGAAGTCTGCCTCCTTGAAATCCATTATTTTTATTCTGCTGTTTTCCCTCCCACGATTCCTTAGAATCAGGAACTCTATCATTTCATGATTACTTTTCACCCAAGGCACTTAGGAGCCCAATCAATGGAACTTAGGCTCCTAAGTCATTCAGATGCTTTTGAAAAGTTTACCCTACTTCTGAGAAATGTAATCTTTAGTCCAGCAACAAATAAATAAATGTTGAGTGCTGTATTTCAAAACACAGACATTATTTCTGGACAATATGTTGGTCCCTTCTGTCTCACTGTTCTAAGTCAGTGTAAATTAAAGTCAGTTTCACTATTCACACCATCCAGCAGCCCGCATGCACACTGTACTATGCAGAAAGGGCTTTTTATTGTCTGTCACTGTTTTGGTGCCCTTTTTAGGTACTACAGTTGAATACTTAGACAAGTTTCCATACCTATCATGAATATTAACTATCCAAAAGGACTGCAGTGTGAATAGTATTCCTGAAAACTCCTTCTTGATGGGCAGTCTTGATCCTTCAACAGCTGTTGAAGGCACGGTTCCTTCCATCTACAAATCCTTGTTCTGTGCTCATACAGTAGCTGCATGGCAGAGCTATCTATTTTCATTACTTGAATTCCCATATTCTATGGGCAGATGGACAAAACCTTGGAAGTTTAACCCCATAGCCTAGGAATGTGATCTGAGATGGAGAATTTGGGAAGGGTGTGAATTGATGAGTTGGAGAGGAGGCTGAGAAGTGAGTCGTTAAATTGAGGGGAAAGGATACTGAGAACAAAATAGATTGGTGAATTGATGGGAGGGAAGGCACAGAATTGGTGAATTACTGAAGGTGGGAAAGGGAAACAGTGGACAAAGGATTTGGAGGGCCAGAGAATAGGTATTTGCTGTGTGAATGTAGGAATAACCACAGAACATACTGTGTAAGGTGAAAAATGGGGAAGAAAAAGGAAGAGAAAAATGGACTGCGTGTAGAAAAGGGAAGTATAGGAGACAGAAGATTTGAGGAAATTGGATTGTAGGGAAATAACGGGTAGAGTAAGACAAGGGAGAAATTAGAATCAAGAAGAAGATGGTAAAAAAGGAGGAAAATAAAGGCTAAAAGACAAGAGGAAACAGAACAGGGAGAGTGGGGGGGGATGTTTTTATACATGTCTATGTATTTGAGCCCCTGTGGTGACATTTAGTAGAACCTAATTTGCCAGTAGCAAGTCATTCTGTGAGTCATCTTAAAGGATTTAAAGAAATACTCATGAGACTTTCTTTTAAAAAAAATTCTGAAGTTAGTTTTTTAACCCTTAAAACCCCTCTTGAATATAAGAAATAATATTTTGGTGCAAGGACACCCCCCCATCCCCAAATCCTCTCATTTAAGATTTTACTGGCTCCCTCACAGTTTCCCAAAGCTCCCCATTTCTCTCTGTGGCTAACTTCAGACCCGAAGCCACCTCCGGATATGACTCTTGGTATGAGCTGTGCAGGAAAGTAGAAATCTGCCAATGCAAGTATTCTGCTTTACAGTAGCCATGGAATTTAGAAATATATGTTACAGCTGGTCAGTGTTTACCCAGAGACAACCCTGAACAATGGCCCTACGAAACTCAATCTGTGCATACTACTCCAAAAGAGATAACCCCCTGATTCAACTATCATCTCTGGTGAATGCTACAAATTTAGAATTATAAACAATAACAATGGTAAACTTTTCCTTGTCTCCTGTGGGGCAGCACCATCAGATCATATAAAATTTAGAAGCTATCCAATGTAGTTTTCCTAATTTGAAGGTCTTTAAAATGAGAAGGAAATTTATTATGTTAGAAAATATTTTTATGGATGCTATAAAAAGGGTAAATAAGATACCAAATTCAGAGCTTTGTAATGTACCTACCGGCCAAGGAACTTCACAGTTGGTGTGGTAATTATCGCACCCACCAGTCCACCAATGGAGAAAATAGACACGGTTATAGACCAGAGGAGTGTAAGAGTTCCTCCATCTATTACGTGGCCATATCTTCTTTCCCAACTTTCATTGTAAAACCTCTTGATATACTGAAAGTAAAGAGACAATAATGGTATGTGTGAAAGCAGCTTACTTGACGAGTAAGGACACTGAAATTATCAATCGTGATTTAAACAATGGCAAAATAGTAGCTTTCTGTATAGAATAGACACCTGTGACATCCATCTTTAATTGTTTTCACCCTAATCTTGAATGATTTGGAACAAATTAAAAATATGTAAATTCAGTTATCAGTGTTATGGGTTGAGTTATACATTGTTATGAGTTGGGTGTAGCTGCTGCCTTACATTCAGGATAAACATTAAGAAGCCATTGTGAAGAAGTGGCTGAACCAACAGCAGTACAACTCAACACACAGGCACATGAAAAAACTTGAGCTGATGCTGACCCAGGCACTAGAGATTAAGACAGAAGCAGAAATAGAAAGTCAAGCCACAGTAACAGAAAGCTGGGATGTGGCTAGAAGACAAAATTAAAATAAAAAGATTTTGGGGTATGGAGCACTAGCTGGATAGGCAGGCATGGAACCGCAGACACAGGAATTGTCTCCTGCTATTTGATTCCTACTACAATCAGAGAAACAAGACTTTGTACATTCTTAATGAATAAGCAAAATTGCATCAAAGAATTGAACTGCACCACCAATTTCTCCTCCTAAGTGGAACAACCTACAAGACCCCAAATTATGGGCTATCCAGTTGCGTGAAAAGGGGTATCATTATTATCTGTATTGCAGTAGCAGCTACAGCCCATTGTGCCGGGCACTATACCAATATATAACAAAGAAATGGTCCCTGCCTCGGAGAGGTTACAATCTAAATTCACAGCAAAATGCTGTTAATATTGTATTGTAGTATCCTTATATTAGGAACACATAGTTTTACTGAATACTCCATAGGTCTCTACTGAAAACAATTTAAAAATAGAAAAACTCCAAGGGAAAGGAAGAGAAGAAAAAGGGCAACAAAGGCAGAAAGAAGAAAAGATGTCACTTGTAGAGAGCGATGTGGGGTGGGAGATTGGTGAGGAACAGAAACTCAAGAGGAAAAACAAGAAGCGAGACGCCAACAGAAGATGATTCCTGATAATGAGGAGACTAGCCTGCCTTGTCCCATAAAATGGAACTTCAAAAGCAGGAGAGAGTAACAGGGATGATTTCTGTTTTAATCCCCCCCAAATTCTGTAACTGACGATTATGAAAATATTTTATACCGATGCTTTTTATCGGTCGGTGCACATGTAGGTGCAGAGCCAGGGGTTGAGCAGTGAAAACCCCCTGGCCCATTGGAAAGTTGGCATCTGTAGCTCTAGCCCTGGAGTCGGTGCCTATACAAGGAGCCACATATTAACTTTTGAAGAGCTGCATGTGGCTCCAGAGCCAGAGGTTGGCCACCCCGGTCCAGGAGAAGGTTGGACAGTAGAGGACATACATTTCTGGGGGGAAATCTAGGATTGGGGGTGTGTTGGGGTCACCCTGAAGTATAACCCAGGCTGGCAAGAGTCAGAGTGTAATCCAGGTAATGGCAGGCTGCAGTTACACACCAACATTCAGGGTGTAGCCTGCATGCTGAAAGGCTCTGAGCAGACCAGCTGGAAGCTGCTTCAACCAAAGCATTGTAAAGCACCCATAGTTGCTAAGCAGGGGGGACACAGCTGCTCATTAGTCTGGACTGTACAATGGTAAGTCACAAATGGGGCCCAGCATCTCCCAGAGGCTATTTGTGAGTGCTGGTTGCATCTAAAAAGAAGTGCATTTTGAGCCTGGACCAAAACCCATTGACGTGAATGGATATTTTTACATTAACTTTAATGGGGTTTTCTGCAAATACAACAAATGAAAAAGGTCATAAATATGGGAATAATAAAGGGTTGCTAGACCTTGCTATGGTAAGGGTGAGGGTAAGTGGCAGTTGCCAGGCATGGGGGCAGGTATTACAGGGTCAGTGGAAGCTAAGCTGATGAAATGGAATGGAAATAAGTTATATAAATGAAAAAAAAGTGACTGTGAAGAAGGAAAGTCTGCTGTATTTATTCATTGGGAGTTCAGCGTGCCTTGGGACTCTGCATCTGAAAAAATGAGAGCATGAGCCCTAATGCACAGTAGCTGTAAGGAAAGCTGAAACATATTTCTGGTTCATTAAAAGGATATTCAAAACAGTGAGGCAACATATTTATAATTATGCAATAAATTTACAATTTTCAAAGGGTAGATGATCCATTTATTATCTTATACCACATAATATAACCCCAAGTACCTATCCTGAAAATTAACTAAATGCCAAATCTCCTGCACAGAGAATGTATGAAGAATGCTTTCTATCGCTTCGCATCAAAGCTAATTGTGTTATTTCCACTGCTTGAAGGATGTATTTTTTTTAAAAAAGCTATGAAATGACACCAAGAAATTGCTACACAGCTGGAATCCAGTTAGCCTCTGGCATTTTACCATTTCAGTGTTCCATTCTGACTCATACATAACTTGTCATAAAATTTGCCTCAGTTTTTTTGAGTGACTATAAAAGGTACAGAAATAGTACATTTTCTGAGTGAAGGCCTATGGTACACTCACCATGACATAAGAGTCATTACTGTACTTTACATTTTGCAGTTCAGGTTGAACCCAAGGTCATGGACTTGTTTGCAAATGGTCTATTTTCATTAATTTTAAGGACAATCTTTTAAAACTTGGATGAGAAATCAGGCCTCTAAAGGTATATTTAAGTGCTGAAGTAAGTGCCCTCATTTTCAGAGGTGCTGAGCACTCACCAATTATAATGGTAAATTATACCAGTATAGCTAAAACAATGTAGTTATATCAGCAATATTCCACATAGGGACATTCTTATTCCAGAACTAGTATGGGAAAGCCTATGTTTTGCATGGGTGTGGCAGCTGGATCAAGTAATCCATCAGCCGTACAGTCTTTCTCAAACAACTAATAACACAGCTGCATGCAAATTAGCTGTAGACTAAGGGTGCTGATTGGTTGAGTTACTTCTAATATCTCAATGCTCTAGCACTCTTCATGGCATAGATACAGCTACAGTAAGGCATGTATACCAGATAGCTGTAATTCTTGAAGTCAAAATGGGCAAGAATTTAAAAACTGGACAGTAACAGATTTCAAATCCCAGTGATGATTCAACCTGCTCATAACGCTAAACCAAAAGGGCTCTCAACGACACCTGTAGCAGTTTCCATTGCACTGACTCTACAGACATTCTCGGCTTCCAAGTGACATACAGACAGATTGACAATCCTGATACCTTATCTTGTATAAGAGTGGCTTTTTTTTTAACCTAATCTCCTTGCAAAATGGCATAAACTAAATTGAAAAAAGTGCTCTTATATCTCAGTTTTTAGAAGAGGTTATTTTGTCTTGAATATTTAGAGCTTTTTAATAGAGAGTCTTCATATATTCATGTAAAGAAATAGCAGTATTATCCTTCCAGGACATTAAAAGGTATTCAGAGACACAGCCAAACACACTGGTATCCACTCTTTACTCTGCCATGTATAGTTCTGAAGCAAAGATGGCAATGATTTTACTCTAGTCAGTGGGGACCTCAACCTTTTCCCTGCTTGACCTCACAATAAAAGAGAAAAAGATTTTCAGATTCCCCCTCCCATTTAACTATAAAGAAAAGTAGAGAGTCACAACCACTCTTGGACCTGACTGTAACGCCCTGATCAAGAACCCATGCTAGAAAATAACTTCTCCAGGGCCAAAGGACAGTTCCACAGAAGAAAAAAACTGATACTATGTATCAGATAGGAGTGTTATTTTCTAGTTATGCGGGGGTGTGGGAAGAGGCAGAGATCAGACATTTAAGAAATGCTACTATTTGAGAGAACATCTAGAATTGGAATGCAATGGCAGAGGTCAACTTTTCCCCCCTAAACAGTGTAACTGATAAGGGATTTTGTATAGTAAAATCTACTAGCAGGCTAAGAATCCATCTATCTGTCTAGGCATTCCTAGAGTCATAGAGTTTAAGGCCAGAAAGGACCGCTAAATGTCACCCAAACCTGTGTATTGAACCCAATAACCTGTGTTAGGTTAAAGCGTATCTTCCACAAAGGCATCCAGACTTGATCTGGAGACATTAAGAGATGGAGAAAGTGTACACTTTCACACCAGAAGGAACTTGAACCCACAATCTCTGTTTTAGGAGGCCAATGCCTTACCCATTAGGCTCATATGGACCTCATCACCATTGTATCTGACATAATCATTAGTGGATTCTATTCCCCGTGAGGTAGGACGGTATTAGCTGCCCCTCTGTAAAACGGAGATGAGGCAGAAGGTAGATTAGGTGATTGCCCAAGGTCACACTGGCAGTCAGTAGCCAAGCCGGAAACTGAAGCCTGGTCTTCTCCAGCCCCGTTGAGTGTCTTAATCACAAGTTTATCATCCTTCCTTGAAGCCTGGTGTCAGGTTTTAGCCTGATAGACATGGAAGTGCCAAAGCTAGAGCTTCTACATATAAATAGGATTATAATAGAAATGCCAATAAACACTTAAATTTAGCAGAATTACTAGATGTCAACTTTCAGAGTAACAGCCGTGTTAGTCTGTATTCGCAAAAAGAAAAGGAGTACTTGTGGCACCTTAGAGACTAACCAATTTATTTGAGCATAAGCTTTCGTGAGCTGCAGCTCACTTCATCGGATGCATACTGTGGAAAGTGTAGAAGATCTTTTTATATACACACAAAGCATGAAAAAATACCTCCTCCCACCCCACTCTCCTGCTGGTAATAGCTTATCTAAAGTGATCACTCTCCTTACAATGTGTATGATAATCAAGGTGGGCCATTTCCAGCACAAATCCAGGGTTTAACAAGAACGTCGGGGGGGGGGGGGGTGTTTTAGGAAAAAACAAGGGGAAATAGGTTACCTTGCATAATGACTTAGCCACTCCCAGTCTCTATTCAAGCCTAAGTTAATTGTATCAAATTTGCAAATGAATTCCAATTCAACAGTTTCTCGCTGGAGTCTGGATTTGAAGTTTTTTTGTTGTAATATCA